CAGGAAGTTGCAACTGAATTTGGTGTACAACAATCGGCTTTGCAGCACGTCTGCGCCAGCTAGGAACACGGATGACAGACCAAGAACTGGCTGTCAGCGGGTTACCACACCCAGACACGACCGCCAGATCCTCATTCAGCACCTGCACAATCGACCCAGAACTGCTGTACAAACTGCTGAAATAAGCATAAAGTGCACAAATTGTTCGCAAGAGACTGAAAGGAGCTGGTATTCGTGCACGACGTGACCGTACATTGGAAATCCACCAGCGCTGAGGTCACAAAGGACTTATGAATTGGTTAAGACGTATATGCCTCTAGAATTTGGAGGCAATGTCAATGACATCAACTTATCTTGTCAATTTGGAACAAAGGACATGTTTGATTTTTATCACAACACACTCTTAAATCACTTTTAAAAATTTAGATTATCATGTTTTATCTGAATATGCGTTTCTTTTTTGTTGTTGAATATATATTTGTTTTCTGTGTGCACGACTTGCGCCTCATGTGGTTTTTAAATAAAATATTAATCAATTATGGACTCTTCTGGTGTTGAAAATGGTTTAATTGTTATTCACCAGAAAAATCTCAATATTGACCGAGGCCAATCCTCCCAGGCACCTGATCCCCTTTTGGAATTTCTAGGGGTATCTGGCAAAAAAATACAATATTACATTTACAATAGTTTAGTATAGATAACTTTAGTAAAATTTATTAATAAGTCCTACTGTGAAGTTTTAAATCAAAGTATCGAGAGAGAAGAACAGTATACTACTAGTATTCTGTATCATGTTCCTTCATTCGTACCCGATATACCACCTACATGAAATTCCATAGCCAATGATATTGACAATGCATAATCTAGCACTATAAAGGTAGTTTGTGATATAACAATTATAGATCTGTTCAGAATACTTCAGATACATAGCAGTGTCTTCATCAGGTGTAGAGATAATTGATATATTATATTTTTCATCATGTTTCCAGGTAAGAACCTTTCATTATTTTGCCAATTTTTGCCTTTTCCTTTTTATAATCTAGACAATTTTCAGCAAAATTCTCTCTTTCATGAAAAATGAAGGCTTAAACATAGAAATAACCTTCCCACGCAAGTAGAATAAGTTAATTTTTTAAACATTTTAAATTATTTATGACTAATTCTTAAAAAATGTTCCGGTATCATATATGAGGCATAGACAAGACCCGTCTAGATGCTGTGAATGTTTAAAAGGTTATATGCCATATGAAATATATATATGGAGATTACGAACAGTATTTAAGCTCAAAAGTCCATAAAACAAAACAAAATAGGAGCAGAGCAAACATGGACCTCCAAAACATCATAGGTTGGATCAGGTGCCATTGAGGAGTGAGCACCCCCCGCCGACCAGTCACATCCGCCCTGTACTCCTTGTCATAATTAAGAAATAACAAAAAATCAGTCATCAATTCAGTGTGTAAAAAACGGACAAACAATTAATATGAAAATGCCAGTCAGCATTTGACGATAAATTGTATTTGCTGGCAAAGTCATTGTTTCCACCAAAGAACTTACGAAATGATGACTTTAAACGAGACTGCCGATATTCTTGTTTCATCAACTTGTTTGTCAATAATTTACCTCGTTTTAGAAATTGTACATACATAGAGCATACTCTTGCATATCGAATCAATATTTAACCCCTTCCATGGCAAAGATTTTAAGCATTTCTAGACAAATTGATATTAAGATTTAAATGCATTTTTTGGGGCAATTCTTGAAATTTTTGTATATACAAATGTATATATATATTCTGAAAGCAGGCATTGTATAGTTGAAAATGATAATAAAAGTATCATTTCAGTTGCTATGGCAACAAAATACACCATAATCATGCTGGAATTTCCATTTATTCAAAAATGAGTTTCAATCTGGTTCTTTTGCTTAGTTAAATATATTTAAAAATATTTTATTGTGTTGTTGAAAATTATGAGCATGTTGTACATTAAAAAAAAAAAACAATTTTAAGTATTTTGGGGAATTTGGGCGGGTTGAGGGGTAATCAAAAGAATTTAGCATTTTTACATATTATGTGTTACTACCGCATTCATTTCGATAATGGCAAAATCACTCGAATACTTCACAAAGTTTAACACGAGATAACAAAAAAAAAAATGGTTCAACCAATAAAATAAAATTCTGCATATTATTTTTTCCTAATTGTCCCCCACTTTCGCGAAAGCGAGGGGACATTAAATCTCATTCGTCTGTCCGTTAGTCTGTCAGTCTGTCAGTCCGTCACAAAAACTTTAACCTTGTCCATAACTTTTGATTAAGTGGAGCTATGACTTTCATATTTCACAAGTGTATTTCTTGTGACAAGACGAAAGTGGGGGACAATTTGGGTGCCACCAAATTTGACCTTTTGACTTTGACATTGGAGTTTGACCCACTTTTACACAAAAAATCCAAACTTTTACTTTGGCCATAACTTTTGAATGGTAGATACTAGGACACTGTCATATTTCACATATGTATTCTTTGTGGCAAGACCTTTCATAGGATTCCAATAATCTTGACCTATTGACCTTGACCTTGGCGATTTCTGTACCTGTGAAAAAATCTTTAACCTTAGCCATAACTTTTGAACGGTAAGAGATAGGACTTTCGTACTTCACATCTGTAATCAATGTGAAAATACATTGTACAAAGAACTTTGACCTTTGATCTTGTTAGAGTTTGACCTACTTTTTTAAAAACTTTAACCTTGGCCAAAACTTTTGAACGATATATACTAAGGACTTTTATATTTCACATATGCATTGTTTGTGGCAAAACCTTTCATTGGATACCAACAACTTTGATCTGTTGACCTTGATCTTGGAGATTTCCGTACTTGTGAAAAACTCTAACCTTGACCATAACTTTTGAATAGTAAAAGATAGGGCTTTCATACTTCACATATGTAATCAATGTGAGAAGACCTCTCCTTAGACACAAATAACTTTGACCTTGGAGTTTGACCTACTTTAAAAAAAACATACCTTGACCATAACTATTGAAGGGTTAGGGCTAGTGCTTTCATACTGCATATAATTATTTCTTCTGACAAGATCTTTCATTGGATATCAAAAACTTTGACCCTTTGACCTTGGTCTTGGAGTTTGACCTACTTTTTAAAAACTTTAACCTTGGTCGTAACTTTTGAACGATATATACTAGGACTTTTATATTCCACATTATGCATTCTTTGTGGCAAGACATTTTATTGGATACCAACAACTTTGACCTGTTGACCTTGGGAATTTCCGTATTTGTAAAGAAACTTTAACCTTGACCATAACTTTTGAAATGTAAGGGCTAGGGCTTTCATACTTCAGATATGTATTCTTGTGTAAAGACCTTTCATTAGATACCATAAACTTAGACCCTTTGACCTTGGAGTTTAACATATTTTAAAAAACAAACCTTGTCCATAACTTTTAAAGGGTTAGGGCTAAGGCTTTCATGTTTAAATATTTAATCCTTGTGACAGGGCCTTTCATTGGATATCATGAATGACCTTGACCTTTGGGTAATAATATATTTAATTTGCATTTAAAAAAAGTTTAATCTTCGCTATGTTTACGGGTCATCAGTGTTTCACAAACACAACTTGTTCCTTATATTGAAAAGAGATATGGCTTTCATATTTGACATGTGCATTACCTGTGACAATATATTTCCAACCATGCTATGATTTGTGACCCCTTGACCTTCACGATTGATCTTATTTAAAAAAAATCAACTTCAGTGATAATTTCTAAATGACATATGATAGGGCGTTCATATTTGAGACAATGTTTAATTAAAAAAATGACATCTCACCCATAAAGACACCGAAAGCGGGGGACCACAATTCTTTGAATTTGCTTGTTATTTTTTCTTTCTAACAGTGCAAGTATTATTCTGATATTTGCAATATTATAGAAATTATGAATGTTTGTCCATACTATACTCGTTTTTCAAGTCAGATGCGTAGAAATGCGTATATGCCATGAAAGGGGTTAACCCCCGTATGCAGGTTATGAAGGTAAAATACATATCTCAACTGATATTCCACTGACCTTGAAAAAAATACCACGATGTTTAAGAAACCTGTTTCTTATTTGGATATTAAATTAGAAAAAGACATTTATCACCACCGGGGACTTCAACTTTTCAATCTTCAAGCTTACTTATATACAATGTAGTATTATATTCTTATCACCTACATATAGTTTTATGTCTCTGAGTTGATTCGATGTGCAAGAGGATGCTCTTAAATATATACCAATTTCAAGCTATTGAAAAACAAGTTGATGAAACAAGAATATCAACAGCCCTGTTTGATTTCATCATTTCGAAGAAGCTTTATCGTTGATACAATAACAGTGTCAACAATTGAAATCTATCATTAAATCAAATGCTAAACTGAATTTTTCCATACAATTTGTAAGACTGTCTACGGATGTTCGCTTTTTCCTATCATAACAAGGAGCACAAGGTATTTCTAAGCCAAAAAAAGTTTTAACAAGAAAAAATTATCCATTGAAATCAGGCTTTGAAACATCAGAAATTTTTTTTAAATGCACGGAAATGGATAAATGACGCTTAAATCTTTCCATATGTTAAAATTCTTTAGAATTTTAAGTTTAAAATTGGTTCAAAAGAGCATATTTTTTAATTTACCTTAAAAATTGGTTATACAATGACCATTTTTACTGGGGTTTTTTCTGTAAATCTCTCTTATAATAAAGTAGTAGCAATTGTTTCTTATCACAGTACTCTTATTTTACTAAGAGTACAATTAATTTCACTGTGCATGGTCATTGTCATGAAACGAATGGCTATGAAAACTGATTTTTGTGGTTCTTACAAGACACAACTAATTTGTCGCTCACTGTTAAAAATAAGACAGAAAGACGACTTTCATGTAGAATACTTTACAAGTGCTAAAAACTATATAGTTAAAATGTATTACTTTCAGTTGAAGTAAAGAGTAATGTTTCAACTCCAGCCTCATATCCGGAATTCCATGTGGGACGAAACCTCTGGAAGTATTGTCCACCGATCATGATCGTGTTAGGTACTGTCGGGAATATCTTCAGCATTGTGATACTTCTTCGTAAAAATCTCCGTCGGCACACAACAGTCATCTACCTTGTAACTTTGTCGTTGAATGATCTTGTGGTTCTTTATACCGGTCTGTTGCGGAACTGGATCAAAATAACGTTTGGTATTGATGTTCGCCTATTTAGTGAGTTTTCCTGTAAATTTCATCTTTGGATGGTGTATCTCTCAGTGGACATATCTGCCTGGCTTCTGGTTACTGTCACTTTAGAACGCGTCGCACTGGTGTGGTTTCCACATGCAAGTAAACATCGTTGCAACAAACATGTGGCGGGAATAATTCTTGGATCTCTTATTGGGATTTTAATGTTGGTTAACGCTCATATTTTGTACGGTATTGGAGACGTTACAAAGAAAGAGGACAACCGAACTGTTTTACGGCAATGTTATTACGAAACCAATGTTTATGAGAAGTTTTACGAAAATGTTTGGCCTTGGATTGATTTGGCAAAGTTTAATGCTATTCCATTTGCTATCATTTTGATTGGCAATGTCTGTATCATTACAAACGTCATCAAAACTCATAAAAAGTTGAATGTAAGAGTTGCACCAGGAGGAATTCAACAAAAATCTAAAAGGATCCATTCCATGACAACCACTCTTATTGTTTTAAACACAACGTTTTTGATTTCAACGACTCCCATCAGCATTTACTTGGCGAATTACAACAAGTGGTCAGAAAATGCTACGAATGAGGAAATGGCGCGTCTTGTCTTGTTATGGGCTGTGACAAATCTTTTAATGTATTCTAATAACACAATAAACTTTTTATTATATTGTGTTAGTGGAAGTAACTTCAGAAATGAAATCCGATATCTTTTTGGACGTAAAATGAAAGTTGGCGGTGGTTCCCATCTGACAACTCGTTTACAGGTACAGCCAACAGCTTCACGAACCATTTCCATACTAGGATGATGATATCATAGACTTTGAATTTATACATACTATTTATCCAGAAATAAATACATTGATATTAAACTAATATCCAGGTTTCAGATTTAAAAAAAAAGGAATTATTTATCTTGGATAAGATAAATAGAGATTTTTATTTTATATAATCCGTTCTTAGTTGACCATTATGCGTAAAGTACTACTACTGAAACACAATACAGAGATACCAAAGATATGCGCTTTCAAATGATCTGATATTTTGATATGACTGAAGACGTTAATGGTTAACTAACAACTAAAGCATCAGTATATGACAACACGATCTCAGATTTTCATTATCCATGTATCAGTAATAAAACCGTTAATAACATCTGCATATGGTGTATATCCTCCCGCTATGTCAGAATGTCAAGAGTATATTCTGAATACGATCAATTTCTACATAGCTACTTTCAAATAAATTGATGTTACGTGGCTTTCATGAAAATTAAATCTTATTACTGTCACATTGATAATTCTATTGCTGAATTAATAACCTTCTTTGCAGATACACCCCATGGGTTGCATCTTGTTGCATAAGACTTGTTTCATATAAATTGATAGGCCATTGTTTAAACACTAATTTTGCGAACGGTTTTAACTGAAATCAGTGGCATTGTTTAGATCGTCACGTGTTTGTGTGTACGGATATGTAAGGTGGTGTATTTGTGTGAGAGGTTGTAGGTGTATACATATGTACCAAATACATAATGTTTTGTCCATCCAGATCTTACTAAATGAACTGGTACTCTGTCGTGTTAAGTGGCTAAAAGAGCTTAATACAGTCAGAGAAGTTTAGCTTATAGCGTTAAATTTGAACTTAAGAATATTTAATTACAAAAAGTTTTACAATGAGCTAAATGAAATCGGAAGGCTGTATGCCTTCACGATTGTTTTCCAATGATTAAGAACCCTCTCTACACTGCATACTAAAGAGTTCTGATTCTATGGTATTTTTTTGCAGTTAGAGTGATCTGCCCTTGGATCTAAATTCTTAAAATTAGAAATTCACAGTTTATCACACAGTTTTAAATCAATTCAGATATTCTTAACATTTTAAAAGGCCAAGATAAATTAACTGAACATGTTATTTACATGTATTTTCTCTATGGAAGTAAACAACAGTGATTTCTATTCACTGATACTGTGTTGTGTTTGATTATTTTTCCTGGGGGTAAATGCCACGCACCATATGTTGAAAATCATATAAATAAGCTCAATACTAACACCTTTATAGAATATATTTTTCTCAATATCCAAAAAACATTTTGTACTGGTGTAGAGAGGGTCCTTATGTGGACAATGCTTGACTGTATCAATTTGTAAATATTCTCAGTTATTACACACTAAAAACACCCTCATTTATCGTTGTAAATTCAAATAGCTTTACTGCACTTTGACTTTCTATTGAAATTAAGGATACCAGCCTATATAATAATTTATTTAATGAATAAATGTCCTGAGACAAATAAAAGTTATATTTCTAGAGTAAATTCCATCTCTCTGATTGGCTGAGATCCAACTATGTTAGAAAAATACTACGTTGTATTGACCTGCATGTGATGTTCCAGGTGAATACAAGGATTTATTCCTCTACATTGATCTAAAAATAGATCGGGAAATTCCAAATTGATACAAATTGTTTTGGAAAGCTATTTAAGTGACTGACTTTTTTTTTTCATGTGAACAAAACATAAGCGACTATATATTTTTGGGTGAGGGAGGTAAGAGGGGATGCAGGGACCCCTCCAACACTTTTACTGAACAACAATTTTTACTTTTTGGCTGTCAGTTTTCCCTGATAATACTCCTTCCTTTCAAAATCGATCCTATAAAAAAGACTGACATAATATTTTTTTTTTTCATGGCAACTAAAATTGAAAAAAAAAAATTCAAATTGATACGACTGGTAAGGTTTATTTACATTTAATTCTGCTTCTCTTGTATTTAGCTAGGACTTAATTAAATGCAAACGAGTAATGAGCTGTATCATTTTATCAGTGAATCATATAATAAAACGATTATTGCTGTTTTTTTCGGTCAAAACAATGCATCCCCTCTTACCTCCCTCACACAAAAATATATATAGTTATGTTTTGTAACATTTTAATTCTGCTTCACATGAAATAAAAAAGTCTCACTTAAATCTTTCCAAAACAAGTACAATATTCACCTCGCTCTTCGGGCTCGGTGAATATTGTACTCCTCAGATGGCTAAATCATTGTATCGACCTAAAAAACAGCAATAATTGTATAATATTTTCAAAGTAAATTCATAAATTTATTAAAACAAAATTGAAGGGGGCGGGGGTAAACAAATAAAGGAAATACTTTTACATGCATTACAAGAAGTGTCTTGATGCAATAAAATAAACATGATATCTTTAAACGCTCCCAAACATTGTGCAGCAAATTTTAAAAGTTAGGTGCAAATAAACATTAATTATATTGGGTCTTGATGCGTAAGTCTGCTCTCTAATTCTATTTGATACGTAGTATTTTTATCATTTAATTTGATTAAACCATAGTTCCGTTTAATTAGTGAGCAAAGGTGTTGCAGCACATCGCGTGTCCTTGTAGTTACTATTATTTCGAACAAAACGGAAACCTGGGTTGAGTTGTACTAATCAGGCATTGTAGGAAAGAGGAAACAGAGTACAATTATCTTTGCAAATAGAAATTACAAATATCATCTTTGTGAATCCGTGCAATGTCACGATAGAACTTGTATCAAAGACTTTACGTTTAGATGCTAATGAATCGCGTAATTACACATCGAGATTAAAAATACATTTTGAAAAATATTGTTTAATGATCTTCTCCATGGAAACCCTTTCCATTACTCTTTCCAATATTTAACAAAATCTTGCTTTTTTTTGTTTCCTTTATTTTTATGACGACTTTACTTTTTTTTCTTTGTCCTCAGGAAGAGACAGGTCGTCCCGAACATTTGTCAATTCTTACTGTGTCGTTGGTCATTTTTGTATAAATTTCCATATACTTTGTATGAAAGACGAAGCATAAAATAATTGTGAATATTGTGTGAATGAAAGAAAAAATGCCCTTGTTCAATGAATGAAGGATATGGAGATAATGAAGAGTATTCAATATCAAAGTCCATAAAACAATACAAATTGGAGCAGAGCAAACACGGACCTCCAAATCATTAGAGGTGTGATCAGGTGCCATGGAGGAATAAGCATCCCCTGCCGACCGGTCACATCCGCCGTAAGCTCCTTGTCATGATCGGGATAAAATGGAAAAATCCGTTGTCAATTCAGTGTATAAATATTAAATAATGGACTAACAATAAGTATGAAAAACGTCAGTCAGCATTTGACTCAATAATAAATTGTATTAGCTGACAAGGTCATTGTATCGACCATAGAACTTACGAAATGATGACTTTAAACGAGACTGCTGATAGTCTTTATTGTTTCATCAACTTGCTTTTTTTCAATAATTTACCTCGCTTTAGAAATTGTTCATACGTAGAGGATGCTCTTGCGTATCGAATCAACTGAGATATATAAATTCCCTATGCAGGTGATGAAGGTAATTTGCTGCATAAGGGAAGTTGACGATAGAAAAGTTAAAGTCATCACGTTTATCATAGAGCTTGGTTGTTAGATTACCTTTCATGTCTTTTTCAAGTAAAATATGCAAGTATGAAACAGAAGTGTCAGACTCTGTGGTATCTATTATCTCGAGCTCACCAGGATATATCGCATCGACATAAGAATGGAAATTACCATTCTTAATTGACAATACGTCGTCGATATATCTAAATGTCGAGTTGAAGGCCATAGCAAGTGTTTTCTTCTTTTCACGCATAAGATTTTGCACAGATTCCTCTTCATATGAATACAAAAAATAGGTCTTCTAATAAAGGAGCGCAATTTGTACCCATGGGAATTCCAATAGATTGTTGAAAGGCCTGGGGGTCGTAACATAAAGCTTGCTAAGTTTTTGACTTAAGTAGGGTCATAAGTACGTTTCAGGCACAATCTTAGGATCTGCCTATGTACTACTTAAGTATAATTTAAACCGTAACATAAAGCGAACTTAGGTCGGTCCTAGCTAAGTCAAACTTGTGTTAAAAATATTTCATAAGAGTCAACCTGTGGTTTTTGATTTTATATGGATATATTGCTAAAAGTTATTCAGTTAGGGGTTTAATTAAATACATATTTAAGTTGACGTCCTTACCTATCGGTTTAAGTTATGTTAGATTAGATTTCGTATTAAAATTGTAATTGTGTTATAAATTATACGGAATGTTTGAAAACAAATACTGCACGGTCAGAAAGTGGCGATTTGTGGTTCACTGTAAATGTTGACGACAATGGTTTATCACCTGAGATGTTTTCAGTTTACCTTCTGTAACTCTTTTGTTTTGACAAATGTTCACTTGCCCTGTTATTATCGAACAAGAGACAAGATAATCGACCGCCTATCCACTTGAAATTGAATCTTTAAAAAATACATTTTGAATCCCCGCTATGTATCAGGCCATGCGTGTCAGATGCAAAAACTGCAGAAGTTTTACGATATACTCATTTGCAATTTAATCAAGGATACAAAAAAAAAAAAAAAAAAACAGGATATTTTTCGTATGTCTCCACTTATCAACTATTCTCTCTCTTAGTCTCTCTCTCTCTCTCTGTCTCTCTCTCTCTCTCTCTGTGTGTGAAGGTGTGTGTGTGTGATATTGGAATCAGTGATCACCTCCCCCCTCCCCCCAACGAAAAAATAAAATTCTGAAATCAGCGTCAAATAGAGATAATTATCTTCTTTAATGCATAATATGAATAGAGGAATGTTTTAACATCGAAAGTCAACATTAAATATATGTACAAGGAAGTTAAGATATACTTAAGTCACCTCTACTGGCCGCCTATGTTTTGCTAAGATTGTCAAATCTTAGTACGCTTCTAGTTACGGTCTTAAGTTTTAAACTGTACTTAAGTCCTACTTAAGTACGGTCTTAGACTTAAGTAGCCTTTATGTTACGACCCACTGGTCTCCAAAAACCACATATTGTCAATCAGA